GCATGCGTATTCTGATCAATCTGGATGGATCGAATGCTTACAACATTGTTAAATAGAAAAAAGAATTAAACATCACTTCGAAAAGATTGACTCCAATGTCGACTAATGCTTGAAGAAGAGAGTAGTAATTGACAAAGGGAACAAGTGTACGACTATACACAGGAGGTGCTTCTTTCGATGGATCGAATGGGTAGGGATTCGCTCTAAAATTTTGTTATAAAAAGAAAAAACTCCAAGAGTAGAGCTTCAATTAAATGGAAAGTATCGTGAGCTCTAAAGAGTAATTTAACTATATCGCAGATGTTCTTCCAAAAGCATGCAAGCCCCCTCGAGAATAACAAATTACCACAAATATTCAAAAAGTTTAAAAAACTCCACAATTTGAGGAAGAAAATGAAGAAGGAATAAGCCTAAATAGACAAAATTATAAGAACAAAAATAGCTACAAAAATGAATCTTCTCGCAGTTAGAAAGAAAAATTGCGGAGTTACTAACAAGCAATCACTACTTTCATTTCCGAAAATACCATGCTCAAAAACAAACATTAATCTATTCCAGAAGAACTCACACAGACGGAGGAGAATTGAAATCGGTTCGTTCCAGCTCTCCTTGATTATAGACGATAGGACGAAAAAAAACTTTCCCGGTTTTTCGCTTCAGTTCCAGCTCCTCTGGAGTCAATCGCTTTGACTGGAATCGCTACGTAGACGCACTACATGGATAGTGATAACAATAATACTAACCAGAGGCATCACTCCGAAATTACCCTCTTCGTTTGCAACAATATCAAGATTTGTCATTAGATCTTCGGTCCGGTCTCTCCACTCGCGTTCCTCCACTTCAATTTTTTGAATAAAATCCGCTTCAGAAATCCTCTGTGGACCATTTTCATGATTAGCCTCCACATTGCTCTGAACTCAACAAAACTATTGAAATAATCATACATACGAAACAATCAACTATCAATTACACCTCCGATAACAGCGCATTGCGGCTTTTCCATCTTTTGATACGCTTTCGGGTTTCGCGAAGGGCAGATTCTCTGTCAGATGGTCGCTGTGATCGGCTGGTACCTTCTCCGGATGAATCAATCTGATGAAACCACCTCCGGGCAAGATCCATTCGCTAGGTCAACTTCACTATACCTGCTCAGGTGCGTTACTATGAGGCGTGGGTAGATCTACCTCTTGAAGCCGCCGGCATAAGCATCGTATACTTGTGCTAAGTTTGGATCTGGTTATTCGAATACTAAACATCTGGAAGGCTTGGTATGAAAAAAATGAACTAGAACTACGCCTACACTCTCACTGACATTCAACGTTTTTACCGTGATATTCACACAGCTGAGCCTGAATGCTAAGCAGCTAAATCATTATGAAAGTGATTCATTCCATACTGTGGGAATAACGTTTGAGAAGATATACTAGGTTGTTTCAAAAAATATATCCATGAAACATAAATGCTCATAACTCGCCTTATTCAGGTGTACCGTATCATCAATAAAGGAAAACCGTA